CGGGTACAGGTAGCTTTTGTTTCCTGTACCCGCGGACCATACAGGGCTCGGCCACACTACAGCGAGGGAGTGACAGGAGGGAGCGCTGATCGCTTCCCTCCTGTCAGCCCCTCTCCTCAGGCTGCGCCCGGGCGGTGCGGTCCGCCCTCATGGATGCACCGCCCGGGCAAAGCTGCAGCCGCCCGGGCAAAGCTGCAGTCCGCCCTCATGGAAGCACCGCCCACATGTCCCCCCACATGATTTGCTGGGGGGATACGTCCCCTCCATCCCCCCCGGTTCCTACGCCCATGGTAATAGAATCAATTTATAAATAATACATTGTTGTTTAAATTTTATTACCTGCTCCTACTAAAGAAGCATCAGAGAATTATATGACTAGACAGGGTTATTCACGAAACACCAAATTTTGTCTGGATGGACAAAATCAGGTGAAAATGGCTGACTTCTGATTGGAATTAGAATTCTGGTTAGAATCAGTGAGATGCATTTGGCGTCTAGTTTAAAATATGTATTTTTCGCATCTGAACCATAGCAAAGCATAAATTGTAAACTACATAGAGCTCAATTGCATCCAGCTGAACATTCCCTTGATTTTATGCAAGCTAACCATTATTTGATGTACTAATTTCCACTGACAGTGCTGACAGCCAGCAGACAAATAGGTAAAAAACTAAACAAAACAAAAGTGGCAGTGCAAGAGTTAACCATGTGGTGGCTGGTTAGCTTTTTCTAGCCAGCAACCTCATTACAAAAGTTACATAGTTACATAGTTACATAGCTGAAAAGAGACTGCGTCCATCAAGTTCAGCCTTCCTCACATTTGTTTTTTGCTGTCGATCCAAAAAAAGGCAAAAAAAACCCAGTTTGAAGCACAATTGTGCAACAAGCTAGGAAAAAAATTCATTCTTGGCCCCAGTATGGCCGTCAGATTTATCCTTGGATCAAGCAGTTATTACCCTACATTGAAAGATTATATCCTTGAATATTCTGTTTTTGCAAGTATGCATCTAGTAGCTGTTTGAACATCTGTATGGACTCTGATAAAACCACTTCTTCAGGCAGACAATTCCACATCCTGATTGTTCTTACAGTAAAAAAAACTTTCCTTTGCCTTAGACGAAATCTTTCTTCCAGTCTAAACACATGGCCTCGTGTCCTATGTAAAGTCCGGTTTGAATATAGATTTCCACATAATGGTTTGTAAATAGGTTTAAATTTATTAACCTTTCATCATAGCTGATATGTTCCATTCATTTTATTAATTTTGTAGCCCGCCTCTGTACTTTTTCTAGAGCCATATCCTTCTTTAGAACAGATGCCCAAAATTGCACAGCATATTCAAGATGTGGTCTTACCAGTGATTTATAAAGAGGCAAAATTATATTCTCGTCCCAAGAATGAATGCCCTTTTTCATGCATGACAATACCTTACTGGCCTTGGCCACTGCTAATTAACATTGCACATTGTTGCATAGTTTGTTGTCTATAGCAATTCCCAAGTCCTTTTCGTGTGTTATCCCTAATTCACTTGCATTAAGGGTATACGTTGCTTGTGTATTCTTTACGCCAAAGTGCATAACTTTGCATTTTTCAACATTAAATTTAATCTACCATTTGAGTGCCCAGTCCCCCAGTCTATCTAAATCCCTCTGCAGCAAAGTAATATCTTGCTCACATTGTATTGTTTTACAAAGTTTTGTGTCATCTGCAAACACTGAAACATGACTTTCAATGCTGTCTTCAAGATCATTTATAAACATGTTAAATAGAAGGGGTCCCAGAACAGACCCTTGAGGGGCACCACTTGACACCTCTGTTCAGTGTGAAAATTTACCATTAATGACAACTCTTTGTACTCTGTTTTTAAGCCAATGTTTTACCCAAGAACAAGCATTTTCATCTAGACTGATTTCCTTGAGTTTGAACACTAATCTATTGTGTAGAACTGTATCAATTGCCTTGGCAAAATCCAAATAGATCACATCCACTGCAACACCCTGATCTATACTTCTACTTACTTCTTCGTAGAACGCAATCAAGTTAGTTTGACATGACCTGTGCTTCATAAAACCTTGCTGATTTTTGCTGATAACCATGTTCTTCTCAAGGAATTCTTGAATATTATCCCTTAATAACCTTTATATTCAAATATTTTACCAGCCACAGAAGTTAAGCTCATAGGTCTATAATTTCCAGGCGAGGATTTTGAACCCTTTTTGAATATAGGAACCACATCTGCCTTCCTCCAATCCTCCAGAACACTTCCTGAAAGAAAAGAATCTTGAAAGATTAAAAACAGAGGTTCACTTATTTCTACACTTAGTTCCTTAAGTACACGTGGATGGATACCGTCAGGCCCTGGAGCTTTGTTTATATTAACTTTCTTTAGTTGCTGCAGCACCTTGTCTTGAGTTAACCAATTACAATTATTTTTACAATTAAGTTTTTAGTAGCAATCATTTGCACATCTATTGCCATATATACGGAGGAAAAATAGTTATTTAAA